GCTTATTTAACTTATATGCAGAGTACATCATGCGAAATGCAGGGCTGGATGAAGCACAAGCTGGAATTAAGATTGCTGGGAGAAATATCAATAACCTCAGATATGCAGATGACACCACCCTTATGGCAGAAAGCAAAGAGGAACTGAAGAGCCTCTTGATGAAAGTGAAAGAGGAGAGTGAAAAACTTGGCTTAAAACTCAACATTCAAAAAATGAAGATCATGGCATCCAGTCCCATCACTTCATGGCAAATAGATGGGGAAACAATGGAAACAGTGACAGACTTTATTTTTGGGCTCCAGCATCACGGGAGATAGTGAGTGCAACCATGAAATAAAAGACACTTGCTCGTTGGAAGAAAGCTATGACCAACCTAGACAGCATATTAAAAAGCAGACATATTACTTTGCCAACAAAGGTCCATCTAGTCAAAGCTATGGTTTTTCCAGTAGTCATGTTTGTATATGAGAGTTGGGCCATAAAGAAAGCTGAGCACTGAAGAATTGATACTTTTGAACTGTGGTGTTGGAGAAGACTCTTGAGAGTCCCTTGAACTGCAAGGAGATCCAACCAGTCCATCCTAAAGGAAATCAGTCCTGAATATTCATTGGAAGGACTGATGCTGAAGTTGAAGCTCCAATGCTTTTTCCATCTGATGTGAAGAACTGACTCATTTGAAAAGACCCTGATGCTGGGAAAGGTTGAAGGCGAGAGGAGAAAGAGATGACAGAAGATGAGATGGTTGGATGACATGAGTTTGAGCAAGATCCGGGAGTTGGTGATGGACAGCAAAGCCTGGCGTGCTGCAGTCCATGGGGTTGCAAAGAGTTGGACACAATTGAGCAACTGAACTGTGTTGTAGGAATTTTTAAAAAAATATATTTTGGATATTTAAATACCTTATTGGATATATGCTTTGAAAATATGTTTTCCCATTCAGTAGGTTGCCTTTTCCTTTTGTTGATGGTTACTTTTGCTGTGCGAAAACTTATTAGTTTGATGTAATCTCACTTGTTTATTTTTGCTCTTGTTCCCTTTTGGTGACACATCCATAAAACGATTGCCAAGACTGATGTCAAGGAGTTTTTAGCCCATGTTGTCCTCTAGAAATTCCATGGTTTTTGATCTTATATTCAAGTCTTTAATGTATTTTGAGTTAATTTTTGCATATGGTGTAAAGTAGTTTTATTCTTTTGCATGTGGCTGCCTAGTTTTCCAATACTATTTATCAAAGAGAGTGTCTTTTCCTCATTATATGTTCTTGGATCCTTTGTCATAAATTAATTGACCATTTTGTGTGAGCTTATTTCTGGGCTCTCTATTTAATTCCACTGATATTTATACTTGTTTTTATGCCAGTACCATACTCATTTGATTACTGTATCTTGGTAATATAGATTGAAATTAGAAAGTGTTAAGCCTCCAGATTTGTAATTCTTTCTCAAGACGGCTTTGGCTATTCTGGGTCTTTTTTGGCCCATACAGATTTTAATACTGTCTGTTATATTTCTGTGAAAATAATATTTTAATAATGGTTAAGACCTCTGAGATTGCTTTCTAGATGTGTTCTGTGAGCTTCTGGGCCAATTGCTCTCTGTCCAAGGGGAAGGTGGTGAAGCTGATGAAGGGTGGGTGAGGGGCTCTGGCTGGGGGAGGAGCACAGGGCTTCCTCCAGCTGGGCTCTGCCTGCAGCCGAGGTCCTGGGTGCTGGGTGGGCACTGAGGGGGGTAGGGGTCACACCTTCCTCTGCTTCCCTCTTGACCCCGTTTGTTACCCAGGCTCAGCAAACAGCTGCTTCCTATATATGCTGGCACTGCAGTTGTCAACCTCAGCCTTTTAAAAGTGGCTTCTTGAAATGACACTTGCTTTTTATCTTTCCAGAAGCCGCAGACATCTTGTTAAGGCTGATATCAGCGGTGAAAGTCTAGTTGATAGTATGTCTTTTGATATGATGTGTTGAGGATGGCTCCTCACTTCTGTGATTTCCTCCCAAACCCTTCACCCTAGTCTGATCACAAGAAAAGCAGCAAAGTCCCAACAGTGGAATGTCTATAAAATGCCTGGTCAGCACCCCTCAAAACTGCCAAGGTCACCAAAAACTAGGAAAGTCTGAGACACTGTCAGCCAAGAGAACCCTAAATGTCATGTGTCCTGATGAGCTCCTGGGACAGAAAGAGGACACTGAGTGAAAAGCAGCGCAGCCTGGATGAACTGGACTTCAGCTGATAACGTCAGTGTGGCTCACTAATGTAACAGGTACACCACACGAAAGCGAGGCTTAAACATCCAGGGAAACCGCGCAGGCGCTTAAGGGAACTCCCTGTACTGAAATCTAAAAGCTGTTTTAAAAATTAAATCTGTTTAAGATAAAAACCCATCGTTCTCACAGGATCTGGTTGTACACAGCTCCTGTCTTATACATGGGAGAGACCCTTGGCAGAGAAGCCGCCAGCTAACGCTGTGTTCACACTGAGCCCTGCTGCCCCGAGCCTCGCCCCTGTGGCACCAGGCACCCTGGCCCTTCTCTGTGCCCACTGGGGCCCTGGTTCTGCTCGGCTTGGGGACTGTGCCCACAGAGGCCCTCGTTTGCCTGCAGGAGGGGTAATTGCTCCCTGAGAGATGTGTCTGGTGGTGCTCCTCGCTCCCTCAAGCCTCAGCGTCCACCCCAGGGGACGGACTCTTTTTAAAGGTCAGCAGCAGACAAAGGAGTCACTGAACTGGGAGATGGGCTTCAGGTTATGTCTAATCTTCCACCAGAGGAAGAATTTCTTGTATTTTTCCGTGAAAATGTGAACGTCATCTCTTTAGGACAGGAGCTGAGCAGAGGATCACCACGGACATTCACAGTGAGTAACTCTGTCCTTGTCTCTTCATGCCTTTGGGACCACCTTCCCTAGTTTTCCTTTTGATGTTTCTGCAAAAGACAGATTTGTTTTTGTCCTGACCTATTTTATTGTGGAAAAAATGATGCCAAAATTGCTTTGCTTCTCTTTCACCGCCCCAGCCTGAAACTAACATTCCAGGAACCTGCAGCACATCTGCTTGTCTGTGACCTATCTTTGTCCCAGATCAGTAGGAAGGAACCCAGCAGTGTGGCTAGGTTTCTAAACAGGTCAAGCTCTTTAAGAGAAACCAGGTCCTGAGGCCCCTGACCCAGCTGGGGTTCCATGAATCGGAGGTGAAGCTCGGTGGGCAGCCAGCCAACATAGCCAGAGGGGGCACAGGTGGCTCAGCTATGCAGCCAGGGGGGCTTTGGGGGTGCATGCCTACAAATGGCGGGTGACTGCTAAGAAGGGGTGTGTGTGGTGTGTGGCACTGGACAGGGCCCACAGTGACCAGCAACGGGAACCCGTCCTGCACCTCAGCGGCACCTCAGCTCTGCAGGGGTGGGAGCAGTGAGGGTGAGAGGGCTAGAGGAGTGGCTGGCAAGGCCACCTGGCGGCCAGCACCCTCCCTGCCCTGGAGCTTCACCACAGATTGCGGCTGAGGACACACATCTGCAAATCACATGTCTTTGCTTGTATTCCACAGGAATGAAAAGCCTTCCTGTGTTGTTGACACTTGTTTCCAGGTAGGGTTAGGGTTCAGCCCTCCTAAACCCCCAGGGCAGGTCATAACATCCTCTGGGGCTGCCTGGGGCTGGCAACAGGGAGGCAGGCATGGTGGCCTCCCTTCCCCTGAGCACACTGATCTGACTGCTCACAGGCACAAGGAAGAGGGTCTCTTCAACTGAGCTGGACTCAGGGAGGCCTGGTGGTCCCAGAGGGCTGGGGGACAGGTGTGCTAGGCTGTGGGGAGGCCACGGAGCTGGGTTAGCGTAGAAGCTGGGGGTCCTGTGGCCATGTTGACCTGTGTGTGTCCTGCCTTCCTGTGTCCCAGCCCCCAGTCCAGCCTGCCCCTCACCCAGGTGGGGAGTGAGGGATGGAGTCGGAACCACGAGCCCTGATGACACAGATTCCTCGGTCTCACTGAGTCTGCGCTGCCTGAGGGCGCAGCCGGGAGCAGCCCAGGCAGGGCTGTGCAGCTGCGATTGCAACTAAGGGGCTGTGGCCAGATCCGTCCACAGCTGACTCCAACAGCTGAGGGTGACCTTCCCCAAAGAGCTAGCGCCTTTGTGCTCTCGGCCGCTCATTCCCTTCCAAGACCCTGTACTCCCTTGTGAGCACCCACTTTGCAGCTGGCAAGGGTAAAACTTCCCTCCCTTCTCTAATCCCTGACCCAGTTGACTGGGTTTTCCTTTTGGGAATCTGGAGTTCTGTGCCGGCCTTGATGGGGACTACCCCACACTGTGGTGGGCCCAGAACACATGCAATAGAGAGCTTCCACATCTCTGGATGCTGCAGGAAGTGTTCAAAACCAAAGCAAGGAGGACTCAGACTTCCCTTTTGTGTGGTCCAGGGAGGGGTGGAGGTGGTCGTGAGATGGGGTGTCTGTAGGGCTGATGGGGGCCACCAGGGGGCAGAGTGGAGTACCTTCCCTGAAGGCCTCCCTGGGTGCTGGGACCTTGGCTGGTATCTTAATTATGCGCTTTCTGCAGCAAAGCTGCAAACAGCAAACTTTGCGCAGCACTGGCCCCCCCCCCCCCCCCCGCCATGTCTCCCTGTGCCAGGTCGGCCGTGTCCTAGAGGCTGCTAGGGCTCGACCACGGCATGGCCACACACAACCGCTCAGCTGTGGAGGAGTTTGCCCTGCAGAGTTTCTCAGAGGAGCCTGGGCTCCGGGGTCTCTTCCTGGTCTTGTTCCTCCTTCTTTTTCTGGGGGCTCTTGCAGAGAACACCCTCATTGTCACGGCCATCAGCCTGTACCCAGGCCTCCATACCCCAATGTACTTCTTTCTCACCAACCTGGCCGTTTTAGACATCGTCTGCACGTCTACAGTTCTCCCCAAATTGCTGGAGAACCTGGCGGTCAAGGGTGGCACCATTTCCTATCAGGGATGCCTGACTCAGCTCTTCTTCCTGACCTGGTTTCTGGGGGCCGAGCTGCTGCTGCTGACGGTCATGGCCTACGACCGCTACGTGGCCATCTGCCGCCCGCTGCACTACAGCACGTGGATGGGCCGGCCTGTCTGCGCCCTGCTGGCCGGCAGCGTGTGGGCAGTCAGTGCGATCAGCACGTCTGTGCACACAGCCCTGATGACAAGGCTGACATTCTGCGGCCCCAATCAGATCCAGCATTTTCTCTGTGAAGTCCCCACGCTGCTGCGTCTTTCCTGCAGCCCAACCACGCTGAACAACGTCATGATAGTAGTCGCGGACGTCTACTTCGGGGTGGTCAACTTCCTGCTCACCATGGCATCCTACTGCTGCATCATCGCCAGCATCCTGCGCATGCGCTCGGCCTCGGGCAAGCAGCGCGCCTTCTCCACCTGCTCCTCCCACCTCCTGGTGGTCGCCTTGTACTACTCCACCGTCATCTACACCTACATCCTCCCGGGGTCCGGCTCCTCCTTGGAAAATGGCAAAGTTGTCGCCGTGCTGTACACAGTCGTCAGCCCCACCCTGAACCCTCTCATCTACTCACTGCGGAACAAGGATGTCAAGGTGGCGCTCAGGAAAGTGTTTTTCTGAGTCCAGTAAAGAAGGGAAGTGGCTGATGTGGACTTTGCAGGCCAAGCAGCGAGTTTCAAAATAGGACGTTGAGAGTCTGATGCAAGAGGTAAAGAGCGAGAAGGTAGCTGATGTGATAGACTTACCTGTAATGGAGAAATGGCCACCCACTGTAGTCTTCTTGCCTGGAGAATCCCATGGATAGAGGAGCCTGGTGGGCTATAGTCCATGGGGTCACAGAGAGTCGGACCCGACTGAGGGACAACACTTTACCTGTAATGTGTGATTCTGGGGGCGCTGCGGGTGTTCCAGGCGGTCCTTAACTAAGCGTTCCAAAGCCCTAAGGATGGATGCTATCAGGGCTTCAACGGGGAGGGGTTAAAGGGGTAATGGGAGAGATAGCAGGGGTGAGGAGGAAGGGCAGGAGGCAGGCAGAGTCCCTCAGCCCCCCCTCCAGCACCTTGCTGACTAGTTTTCCCAGCACCTGGCACCTGGTGCTGTGGCTGGCCCCTTCCCATTCCTGGGCCAGGGGTCATGTGCCGGGGAGTTCCAGGAGTCAGACTCACCCAATGTGCACACTGCCCGGTACTTTCTGATGTGGGGCCCCCCAAGCCCCGATTCTCCAATCAGACACCCCTTGGCATGTGGGGAAAACACAAGATGCGGTGCTCTTCGCCATGTCTGGGAGCTCCTAGTCCTGTCTCCCAGGGACGGAGAGAGACAGTGGAATCCAGCCTTCCACCTAATGACCTGCAGAAGGAGGTGTGGTTTTATTTACTTTTTCTTCTTTAAGAAAAGGGCACATTTATCCTTAATAGTTGCAGGGTACCAAATGTGGAGCTGCAGTTACTGCCTCAGTGCTGAACCCCAGGCCCACTGCTGTGAGTGCTTATGTGACACTGGACCTCAGAGGCATCCCTGGTAGACCTGGAGATCCTCAAGGGCTTGCATGACAGGCGAAAGACCACCTTCAGCCCCAGCCAAGTGGATCATTTGATGCAGATACAAGAAAAAATGAGAGAAAGAAGAAGACCTTTTTCTTGTGATGAGAACTTTTGGGATCTAGAACCTCAGCAGCTTCCCGGTGTACCTCACACTTGTGTTCCTGTGTGTTCATCCCAGGACGTGCTTATAACTGCAAGCTTGTGACTTTTGACCCCCTTCCTTCTACCCCCAGTCCCACCCCTGCCTCCAGTAACCTCAAATCTGATCTCTTTCTCTATGAGTTTGTAAGGGTTTTTAGATTCCACGTTTAAGTGAGATCATACAGTATATACCTCTGTCTGACTTACTTCACTTAGCATAATGCCCTCAATGTCCCTTCATGCTGTAGCAAATGGTAGGATTTCCTTCCTTTTAAAGAAAGATTTTTCTTATATATATATTTTTTCTTACACTATATTTGACAGAGTGATATCATTTCCTTTGGGTATATACCCATAAGTGGTATGCTGGATCTTATGATAATTCTATATTTAATTTTTTGAGGACCCTCCATACTGTTCCATAGTGATGGAACCAATTTACAGTCCTGCCAGAAGTGAACCAAGATTCCCTTTTATCCACATCCCTGCAAGCATTTGTTATCTCTTTGTTTGTTTGATGGTAGCTATTCTAACAGGTGTGGAGTGGTGCCTTATTGTGGTTTTTATTTTCATTCCCTAGTGGTCAGTGATGTTGACTATCTGTTCACATATCTCTTGTCCATTCGAATATCTTCTTTGGAAAAAAATGTCTATTCAGGTCCTTTGTTCATTTAATTTGAATTCATTTGTCATTTGGATTGCTTGTTCGCTATTGAGTTTTATCAGGTCTTTACAAATTTTGGGTATTAGCCCTTTATCAGATATATGATTTACAAATATTTTCTCCCACTCAGTAGGTTACCTTTTCAAGTTGACTGTTTCTTTTGTTGTACAGAAACCTTTAGTTTGATATAGTCCAACTTGTTTATTTTTTATTTTGTTGCTTGTGCTTTAGGTGTCATATCCAAAAAGATCATTGCCAAGACCTATGGCAAGGAATTTGTTTGCTATGTTTTCATCTAAGAATTTTATGGCCTCAGGTCTTTCAGGTCTTATATGTAAATCTTCAACCCATTTTGAGTTAATTTTTTGAGTAGTGTAAGAAAATTGTTCAGTTTTATTGTTTTGCATGTGGTTTGGTAACATCATTTATAACTTTGGCTATTAGGAACAGAGCTTTTATGAATACACACACACACACACACACACACACACACACACCTGTTTTTGTTTCTGGTGGCTCAGTGGTAAAGAATCCACCTGCCAAGCAGGAGACATGGGTTCGACCCTTGGTCAGGAAGATCCACTGGAGAAAGAAATGGCTACTCACTCCAGTATCTTGCCTGGGAAATCACATGGACAGAGGAGCCTGGCAGGCTGCAGTCTGTGGTGTCGCAGAGTCGGACATGACTGAACCTTTGTTTCTTTTCAGTAAGTAATTATGAGCAGAATTACAGGACCAAAGTTGTGTATTTTTCAGTTGCATAAGAAACTACCACTCTTTATTTCAAAGTGGTTGTACCATGTTTTACTCCCAGAGCAGTGAGTGAGAGTTCTGGTTGCCTCATATGTTTTAGTGCTGGACAGAATGGCATGTGAACAACTGAAATCTCATTATGTCATCCCCCTGCTTAGAATATTGAGTAGCTTCCTCTTGCTGATGGGATGAAATTGGATTTTTTGTTTCATTCTACATGGATACAGTGTTAAAAATATCCCCTTAACTTCTGCTTTAGCAGCATCCCACATATTCTCATATATCTTTTCATTTTCATTAAGTTCAGAATGTGGTCTAACTTCCTGATTTCTTGAATGACTCATGCTGCTCAAGAATGCATTATGTTTCAAAGTGTTTGAACATTTTGCAGGCAGGTGTATATATATTATTGACTTCTAACTCAATTTCACTGTGGTCAGCACACATTATTTCTGTGACTTAAATCCTTTAACATTTGTTGAAACTTATTTTATGATCTAGTATATGGTCTTTCATGGTGTTTTGATGTCCTCAAAAAGAATGTGTCTTCTCCTGTTATCGGGTAGAGTATTATGTAAGAACGAATGAAGTCAAGTGGTCATGGTGTTCAGGTTGCTGTATCCTTGCTGTTGTTCTCTTTACTTCTGCTATCAATTACTGAGAGAGGAAATTTGAAATCTCCCTCTATAATTGCAGGTTTATCTATTTCCCCATGAAGTTCTATCAATTATTACTTCATATATTTCAAAAGTCTGTAATTGGGTATGTAAAAATTTAAGGATCTTATGTCATATTAATTAACTGTTTCAAATTTTATTCTAACCCTTTATTATTAGGTGACCTTCTTTATCCCTGGCAATACTTTTTGCTCTGAAATGAACACTGTCTGATATTAACATCATCACTCTAGTCTTCTTTTGACTGTCATTAACATAGAATATCTTTTTCCATCCTTTTACTTATAATGTACTTGTGCCTTTATATTTAAAGTGCTTTTCTGAGTGGGCAGCATGGTTTTTTATGCCAATCTAAAACTCTCTGCCTTTTAATTGGGATATTTTGACCATTTACATATAATGTAACTATTTCACTTTCATATTTGAAAGATGTTTTTGCTAGGTATGGAATTCCTAGGATTTTTTCTTTCAGTACTTTAGTGATGTTGACCTGTTTTTTTTTTTTTAATAGGTTTGGTTTTAACAAGAAATTTACTATTATCTCTGTGCCTTTATACAGAACATATACTTGTGATTTGAAACTAACTTGAGTGATTATTTTATTAATGTGTTCCTCCTGCAATAGGCTGTAATTTCACTAAAGGTAGAGGTCATGTTTATTTTCTCTTACTGTTATATCTTAAATAGATACCATAGTCTCTGGTACATAATAGAGGATCAATCAGTGCTGTGGGTTGCATGAATACATTTGCTGTAATTAATGGTCTATACAGTTTATCCAGACATTGGACAGTGATAAAGTGTAGATCAAAAAAAGCTAAAGGCAAAGGAGAAAAGGTAAGATATACCCATCTGAATGCAGAGTTCCAAAGAATATCAAGGAAAGATAAGAAAGCCTAAGTGATCAATGCAAAGAAATAGAGGACAACATAGAATGGGAAAGGCTAGAGATCTCTCCAAGAAAATTAGAGATACTAAGGGAAAATTTCATGAAAAGATGGGCATAATAAAGAACAGAAGTGTTATGGACCTAACAGAAGCAGAAGATATTAAGAAGAGGTGGCAAGAATGCACAGAAGAACTATACAAAAAAGATCTTCATGACCCAGATAACCACAGTGGTGTGATCACTCACCTAGAGCCAGACATCCTGGAATGCAAAGTCAAATAGGCCTTAGGAACCATCACTATGAACAAAGGTAGTGGAGGTGATGGAATTCCAGTTGAGCTATTTCAAATCCCAAAAGATGTTGCTATGAAAGTGCTGCACTCAATACACCAGCAAAATTGGAAAAATCAGCAGTGGTCACAGGACTGGAAAAGGTCAGTTTTCATTTCAATCCCAAGGAATGCTCAAACTACCACACAATTGCACTCATATCACATGCTAGAAAAGTAATGCTCAAAATTCTTCAAGTGAGGCTTCAACAGTATGTGAACCATGAACTTTCAGATGTTCAAGCTCGATTTAGAAAAGGCAGAGGAACCAGAAATCAAATTACCAACATCCACTGAATCATAGAAAAAGCAAGAGAGTTCCAGAAAAACATCCACTTCTGTTTTATTGACTATGCCAAAACCTTTGACTGTGTGGATCACAACAAACTGTGGAAAATTCTGAAAGAGATAGGAATACCATACCACCTTACCTGCCTCCTGAGAAATCTATATGCAGGTCAATAAGCAACAGTTAGAACTGGACATGGATATTGTGAAATGAGTATACTACCCAAAGCAATCTATAGATTCAATGCAATCCCTATCAAGGTACCAATGGTATTTTTCACAGAACTAGAACAAATAATTTCACAATTTGTATGGAAATACAAAAAACCTCGAATA